TGAGGCCTCTTCCCCCATGCACATAGAGAGAAATTAAACATACTGCCTTGCATGTTGTTTTCGCTTTGATGTCCTTTGCTATTTCTGGGATTCCTCTTTTAATGGTGCTTCAGTCTAGTAATCATAGTGTGAAGCAAAGCTACTGTTCAAAAAGAATTTACTGAATATAGTGACTCTATTGAACCTAGACAATTAATGTAAACCTCTCGTGGAAGTGAAATTTGATTGATGCTTTGAAATTGGAAACTACAGTCAAAACCAATCTAATTTGGACCAAACAGAAATCAGTTTAGCAACAATCCGTAAGCTATTATTAATCAGTAATTTTTGATGAAATGATTTGAATACTTTACAGTAGACACTTGTGGAGTCTATGTGTCCTTTGACAAGTCACTTCAGTTTTCTAGGTCAACATGTCCCATTTGTAAGAAGAGATGAGATGATTTTTCAGGCCCCTACAGCTTTATGAGCCTATGACTTTTACTCTTTTATTTTTATTTAGAAACTGTCCATACTGCCTACTGCTTGGAAAAAAGAGTTTTTTCCAAATTAGGCAAATTCTCTGCAGTCCTGTTGACATAACTCATTTGCTCAGCAAACTCTTCAGGTGGTGCATGGGGAGCTTCAGCTCAGCCTCTGTTCCGTTTATTTCCCGTTTGGAATTCATGAAGTCCAAATTAATAAGGTTTTACTGAATATATGTCACCATCTTTCTAAACATTTGTTGACATTACAGTAAGCATAAGAACTGCTACTAGTAATTAAGTATAGCACTCATGTATTATTTGATGCAATCCTTTTTTTTTGCTTCTATTAACCTTAATTTGTTTAAAAAAAAACCTTTTACATTTCACTTTCTGTTTTAATGTTACGCACTCAGAGCTTGACAGCGTTTGGTAAGCATATGTGCCATTCATTGCCGTCATTTGCGTTCATACATGGTATTGGCTTCTTTTTCGATGTGTACATACTGACAGCTCAAATAGTTGCAGCCAAAAAATTAGACTTTAGTTTAAAAAACTGTGAGTCTGTTTGTTTGTCTGAAAATTTTTTTTTAATATTTGAGGGTTTTAGTTCTTTATAGGAAAAGCTCATATTGAAGTCTTCAGAGACGTGAGAAAATAACTTTGTAAAATTGCTGTTAGTGGACTAGTTTATTCCTGCCTTTGTCATATCGGTGAGTTCCCTGTTTGATGCTGCATGGAGTAATGGAAATCAGCACTACCAACCACAGATGCAGCCTTCCTGCCAGTGAAAATTTAGAGTCGTAGTAACATCCAGCATTGTGGCCTAGTCTTATTGGCCAGATACTTCCCTAAGCAGTTCGTACAGAAATCTTGGCAGTTACAGGCAGGATTAAAATTGGCCTTTTATTTTATTTTTAAAGGTTGCTCA